AGAGAGAGAGAGAGAGAGAGAGAGAGAGAGAGATGTGCACTGACGCGACATGCCGCCTTTCCATGCACGACATACGATCGGTTTTCAATGGGCAGTTGAACGTTTCTTTCGAAGCCATCGACACGTGGAAACAACGATCGCAATCCATCCTGTCGGACAATTGAAATCATCGCCTGTTTTCTAATGCTCAACCAACCCCTCCATCCAAGGGTTAATCAAGGGTGCGTCCAATCCTTTTCCCGATTAATGAGCGTCTGCGAGACGGGGCGCGTCGTATCGTATAATTCTCGTGGACAGCAAAGAGCAGAGATCGAAAATGATCGGAGAAGGAAACGATCGCGAAGGAAAATTAGGAAAATTGTGTCGAAAAAGAAAGTCAGATCGAGGATATTTTAATCTGAAAGCGTCTCTCGCGTTAATTTCTCCTCTCCGCGAGAAGGATTCAATTACGATTCTTACAAAAGCGAATGGAGAGGGGGGGGACGCCATCGAGCGTGGCCACAGTTCGGAAAATTGTGGGAATCGAGGGATGGCGCGACGTGTCGATTCCGACCGGCCATCTGGAACGAATTTCAAAGCTCTGACAATCGTAACGTAGGGGAGGGGGACGATTATCGATCCGTCGTATCGACAGCGTATTTTGAAACGAAAAAGTGGACGTGTTAATTATTCGAATGTATATATTGCTCGATTGGGATTTGGATTGGGAATTGACCGTTTTCCTCGTCCGGTGGAAATAATTTATCGATAAATTAAATTAGGGAAAGGAAAAGTTTGAATTGTTTATTTTTAATTGATTCAAATGTAAAGAAATTATGAAAAGTTGAGCGTGATCGAAATAGGAGATATGTTAATTGGTTAAAAATCGATCTAAATTTTTCAGAGAATTTAATAATAAAGTATTTCGAAAATAATAATAATGAAATGTTTTCTAACTAGATTTGAGCTGATCTCTTTGAATTACACAAGTGAAGTTTGTTTAACGATCAAAATTTAGTTATAAGATAGGAAAGATTCGAAACGTAGAATTAATTTGCACAATTCTCGTTTTTGAAGGATGATGTGAACGGTGCGAATTCCAAAGATCGAAGGACAATTTACGAAATTCTTTTTTTTTTTTTCTTACGATTCGAAATTGTTGTTGCGAAAGTAGTAACCGAAACTTGCATATGCATGAAACATAATTTTAAATTTTAAATTCGAAATCAAGTTGATTTAATGCGAGATTCATTAAATTACAAATAGCTTTTTCCTTTTCTTATTTTTTACGATCATTCACAGATATTCCACTCGTGCAAAAATGTATGTAATAACGTGGCTGATTTCACTTTATAATCTCTCTATTTCATCATTTGTATTCATTATTAATGAAATAGCCATATAATATTCCGCGATAAAGAAAAAAAAAAGCTGAAATTCATTTAAAAACATTTAACAATTTTTTCTCTCCTCTTTTCAATATCCACTTTATCATCCATATTTATTTTACACCTCTCGTATAAATCATTTCGTTTAAACTCCTCTCTTATTGCATAATTCTTCTTCTTGATTAAAATAAAAACATATCGTACGATAATATACATATATATATATATTCGCAAAACGCGAATATTACAAAAATATTTATATCCCCCT